TTGGCTAGTGTGCAATTAACTTATATTCATAAATAGCACATAATTTGCATTGAGAAGTTTCTTGTGGGATATATGTTTGTGAATGTTTAATTATTTCTTGTTATTATATACACAGCATGTGCTTACATTACTATTACCTAACTCTGCTACAATGTCTACTATATAAAATCCACTGGTTTTTAGTAAGTTTAGATTGTTTTATTTCTTTAGAATATATAATCTTTGCATTTAAATTTTACTTGTATCATTTAAAACCTGAAACATGAAAGTGATTACATACTTTAGCACTTTCTTGGTATTTGTATATAAAATTAAAATAAAATTGAATTCATTCTCATGTGATTATTTCTTGCAGTATGACTTTCCAAAGCAGGAGTCTGTAATACAGTTTGTTATTGAGGCCATCCAAGCAGAAGCTTTCAACCCTAAAACTCTTTTTCTAATTGGAAGCTACACAATTGGTACAGGCCATAATCTCTCTATCTCTCTTTGATTCTGTCTTTCACTGTTGTATGCTATAATTTCTTTAATTATCATAGGCAAGGAAAGGCTGTTCTTGGAGGTTGCTCGTGTCCTCCACAGAAAGGTTTATGTCAATGCTGCAAAGCACCGTCTTTTAAAATGTTTGGAGTTTTCCGAGGAAGATATGCAATGGTTTACTATGAATGAACAGGAAAGCCACATTCATGTTGTGCCTATGTGGACACTTGCAAGCATCAAACGACTTAAACATATATCCAATCAATATAAGGTGAGAGGCATGCTTTTCAATAAAAAATGTGAAGCTGTGATCTGTGTTTGTGAAAGAATTTAGTTATTTATTTAGGTACAGAAAATAAAAAGAACGATAAAGAGGATAAATTAGAAGCATTGAATAAGTAAGTGCTTCCAGATTCTTGCTTAGTGAGTGCCGATATGTGGTAGGGCCAAGGACACCTAAGCTGTTTTTCAGTTTTAGGGGTAGAGCACTCAGGCATATTATTTTATGCTCTTTTTTTTTTTTTTTTTTTTTGATAAGAAATATATAAATATTATTGACTGAGTCTGAAATAAGTACAAAAGAGTGAACAAGATGCCCACAAAAGTTAAAGATCCATTTAAAAGATCACAAAACCATAAACAGTCTAAAACGGCCGACTTAAAAAAACTATGAAACCTCAACATGTGTACACCAATGCCACTAGTATGCCATTATACCAAAACTCCTTCCCAATCTAAGTGAATGAAGAAAAAAGATGTCCACTAGTATGCTCTTCTTGTTAAGGCGCTCTTTCAGCTTTATTAGCTTACGAGGAACTAGACCATCGGTGCTTGTCTGGAAATATTTAGAAAATAATACATGTCACATTGTTTATGTCGTTGAAATGGTAAAAATAAAGGGAATAGAAGCATAGAACAAAACAAAAATGTGTTATGAAGTCCATATTGATTATTGAAGGATGATAGGCATTTTAATTCTCTCTCATTTAGTGAATTTGTGATGTATCCAGGAAAGACTGAATTATTATTTCCCTTTAGTAAATTTTATCGATGCCGATGGCATCTCAGATTTGTTTGGTGAATGTGATTGCATTGCTGTTAACCGGAGTATTGTTCCTAAATCTGGAGTTTGCATTTAAGTCTCAGCTGTGCTTGATTTTATGTATATATAGTTAAAATTTTAGTTTCTCTTCCCTTTTTTATATTCTTGTATAGAAAGTGAACTATCGTTTCAAGAATTTTTTAGTCTTAAGGCTCTCTTAGATGATTCTATATGCATTTTTATTGTCAATAATTGATTTTAACAATGGATAATCTATTGAATTATGTAATATGAATTATGTCCTATAAGAATTTGGGCTAGCATGTGGGTAACCAGCCATAGCATGGTCTTATCACACTAACTTTAGTGAAACAGACTTCATTCTTTGTTTCAATATCTGAAATCATTAAATATTGGAATGATTATTCATGTTTATTTGTATGCTTGTTGTCAGAGCCGGTATAGTCTTATAGTTGCTTTCTCTCCTACTGGCTGGACATTTAGTAAAGGGAAGAAGAAGTCTACAGGGAGAAGATGGCAGCAGGGCACAATTATAAGGTTTGTCTTGTATTCTTTAAGAAAAATGTAATTCCTATATATTCCCCAACTTTTGCCTTATCCCTTGTGATATGCAACCAGCTATGGGATAAATGGAGCTTATAATGATTTGCTCCAAAGTAAAACTGTTTACTGAAATGGCAACCTCAATAAAATCCTACCTGGACTGATTAGATTGCAATATTAGTCACCAAGTATCAAATAAACCACATCAAATCTATTAATGTAGCACCAAATTTGAAATTATGCAAAGCAATTTTATTATTTGTAAAATGAGATGGTTTTGCATTTTGAGAGTTCAACACTCTGAAAGCTCAACAGTTATGCTAAGTGATCAGCTTTGAAGTTTACCTTATTCACAATTGATATGTTAAGGAAAAGGTCTTTTTGTCATTATGCTACTTACTAATGGAAGATGTTATTTAGTTGCCTAGTGTTTTCTGGCAATATATTTTCAGCCCTTTAGGGATATAAACAATTAACAGCTTAATTTACTGTCTCCAGTGCTGCTTGTAATTTCACTTCCAATCCTCCAAGGTTTTGAAGTCCTGTTGATTAGTGTTGGTTCCAGTTATATAAATAGTTTACTCTTTCTTGATAAAAACCTTTGTCAAACTCTAGTTGGCTACAACAATAATTTTTCTTCAATACTAATTTGGCAGGTTAAACTCTTAAAAAATTGCATGGCATTCCTTATACCTGTACTTCCGCAAGTTTAATCTGTTCATGGTGGATATACATGTTTGACTTGATGTTTGCAAAAACAATTTTTTTTTTTCAGTATATTGTATATAACAATCCTAATTGTATGACTAATAAGAGATTTTGCTCCTCTGTTGTCCAGATACGAAGTGCCATATAGTGAGCATTGCAGCTTTACAGAGCTCAGAGAATTTGTGAAGCTTGTATCTCCGGAAAACATAATACCAAGTGTCAATAATGACGGACCAGATTCTACAAATGCCATGGTTTCCCTTCTTTCATCTTGAACCGTTCACTGCTAGCAGCAGATACAATCCCTTATTGTATTTTCATCTGAACCTGCCTTTGAAGTGCTATCAAGAACGAGATGGGTGAATCTCCAGTGCAGGTCTGCAATGCCCTTAGATTAGTTTGGTATGTCTTGCCCAATTGGATAATGAAATATACCACAAGGTAACATGGAAATGAAATGCATGTATATTTTGTGGAACATGATATTATAACTGATGTTTGTATAAGAGATACCCAGACCTGCAATGTCTAAGAAATATTGGTAATGCTATATTTTGAAAATGTGGCTCCAATAAGATGTATTGAGTAATTTTAAATTTACTGAAAAATAAAATTCAACTTCTATATATTGAATAACGCTATTGAGTCTTATAAAAAAAGTATGGTCAATTCTCATATAATATTTTAATGACACATGATTGGATATGATGTCACAGGTGACTGCATAAACAAAGAGTTTATGATGGGGACACAAGGTGAGTGACCTTTTTGTTAATTACTTTTGTGTTTCTAGATGCTCTCATAAGTCAATAAGTGCCAAAGGGGCAAGGGGCCTCCGCGGTTTGACATTGTTTGACTGTTTTCCATGTAAAATATGACTGCGCAAGTTAACACATATTATATAATTTGATTCGAATTTTGATTCTATAATCACAATATTTCTTTGGCTGTCTGTAATACGATTAAAATATAAAGAAGAGGAAGATAACAAGAAAGTACGGTGGACAAGACAATGAGGGGTGTTGGTAATATTATAGAAAAACCTCGAGTAAATGGGTTTCTCATAGTTGACTCTGAAATGGGCCTACCATGGGAATCAAATACACCAGTGTTGATAACTGACTTAGGGCTTGTCCATGGATGTTTTCTTAATTGAAATTATATGATCTAGGCTTAATTTCAGTCTTCTAGGTTCATGTTCATGGCCATGGCTGGCTTTATTATAAAAAATATATATTATTAAGCTATTATAGTAAAGAGTAAACGATTTTTTTCACCTAAATAATGGTTTACTAACATTTTTTCATCTACAAACTTTTAAAATACCACTTTATTATCCAAATTTATATTCTGTTTCTCTTCCTCAATCATTACTCAGCAAAACCCTTTAAACCATACTCTCGTTAATCAAATACAATCGATCGATTATGGTTTGTGTAGCGGCTCTTTCCAAGTCAAATTCTAATCAATCCTAATCATTAAAATCTAACTTTCCACCACCAAAAGACTCATCAGTCTTCCCTCTTTAAAAGTACCAATAATTTGTATTGAGTTTAATCTGTGTTCGTTGTTGGAATATAAATTTAGATAATAAAATAGTATTTTAAGAGTCTGGGTGAGTAAGTTTCATTAAACCATTATTTGGGTGGAAAAAAATCTTTAAATAATTAGTAAATAATACAAGGTGATGGCATGTAAAAAAGGTATTTATTGCATGATCTAAGTTAATCATTAATGAAAATACATATATAAATAATATAATTTTGGGTGAGACAGTCAGTTCTTAGCTCCAAAAGTACAAGAGTGAGATGATTTCGTACGTATTATAGTAGACATTGAAATTTCGTTCTTGAATGCTCTTCCTATAAAAGGACACCACAGCCCTTTTTGCACACATGGCAGATGACATGGACTTCATATTCCAAATTTTTTATATTAAATTAATAACAAGCCATTTATTAATTCTACATCTTTCCCAGATTTAATACAACAGAGTACAAAAAAACTGGGCCATATTTTCCCCCTATAATTTCCATCCAATATCTTATAACTGAGACGCCCCTATAATTTCCATCCAATATCTTACGATTGAGATGAAAAATCAGTGATATCAGCAGCAAAAATTAGCCAAACTCTCCTGATGACCTGTTAAACTTAACTATACAAATTATAATAATAATAAATAAATAATAGTAATCTCGATCACTTAGAAGTTCCACAGAAATGAAGACTGAGAATACACGTTCTCATGATCTTCCTCGTTCTCATTGATCATCGCTGTTGGTGTTTCCGGAGGTGGAGGATATTGTTCATCTCCATTCATGTTCATATTCATGCTTATGTCAAGCCCAGAATAAAGACCAAAATCAGATGCAACTGCTCGCTCATTGCTATCTAACATACTCAAAAACGACCAATCCATTGTAGTATGATTACTACTGTCCACGTCCACCGGCATCGCCACCCCATATGATGATGACGACGTGTAATGCGAAGTCGCAGCCGATGATGACACATTATTATAATCCAATGAATTTCTCTGCGGCTCTTGCTCTTCGTTGGCGTATCTTGCAGCAATCACTTGAATCTCTTGTGGTTGAAGCGCTCGTCCTCCGGGTCCAGTTATGTTAATCTCCGGTGGGTTATTGGGGAAGTTGAGTTTAGCACTGGGACCTCGTAAACAGAACAAAGCTGCGTCAAATGCACGCGCCGCCTTCTCTGGCGACTCGTACGAACCTAACCAAATACGTTCTCTGCTGTTCGGAAGCCGAATCTCGGACACCCATTTCCCCCATTTTCGCTTACGAACACCCTTATACTTTGGTTCATGATGATTACTTGATGATGAAGGTTCAGTTATGGAGTTAGTAGCGGTCTTCACCATAGAAGTCTGTTTAGTTTTGGTTAAGGTTAAGGAAACAGCATGAAAATGTTTGAATTGGATCAGACTGATAATAACAATGGCGGCTGCGATGGTGAAGAATATATAGTGAGGAAGAAGTTGAAGTCTAAGCGTGTTGATTTGTGAAGTCAGAGGAAAGACAGAAAGAGCGCGGATAAGCGGACACGTGGCAGTTATAAGTGATTTTGACGGTTTGAGAACGCGGTAGGACCAATTTCAAAGCACGTGGAGTGTTTGTCGTGTTTATATTTTTATTGTTTTACTCGTGTCTTCGGGTTTCAGCCTTTCAGGTCCCTGGAGAGGGAGGGCCACGGCTCACGCTCTACCGCTCTAGGCCTCTAGTTCAGTGGAGCCTTTCTTCTTACGTGAATACCACTCTCCACCTAGGTGCGTTCCTTCCACTCTGTCTGATAACAAATATCTCCCGTAGTTTCAGAAATAATAAATATGTCAATGTTGTTACTTAATTTGCAGGGGTTTTGGTTCAACAATTATTATTATTTTGATTATTTTTTTAATTCCTACATTTGAAAACTAAGTTAAAACACCCCAGCACATAATTGTACATGATCAGTTGGATATGGTCGGGTGTATGCTGATCTGATCATTTTTTTTTGGGGTCAAATCCATGGATTTAGCCGGAAATGGTCATGGTTATGGCCTGATTCCGTCAGATTGACACACGACCGACCAGATACAATTGGTTGTGCACTGTTCTGGCAATGACGGCTGACGGTGGTGGCCGACGGTTGGTGATGGTGGCCAAATCCGACGGTGGTCTTGGGTAATTTGGTGGAAGTACAAGGGTACTAATATCTTAAAAATCTTATTTATAAGCATAAAATAATTCATAAATATTCTTGTAAATTATTTTCAGAACAAAAGCATTATTGTTAAAAAAAATTATTAATTAGAGATAAAATTGTAACAAAAATAAGAGTATCAAGTAATTTTAGAATACCTAAAAAAATTGTGGTATTCAGATTATCACCTATAAAACCTGCAATAATTACTATTGGTATTGGAGGATTACCAAAAATTTTTATTACTCACAACCAAACATGATAATGTCAATAATATAAGATTACATTACTGAAGTAATAAGAGATTACCCTTAGGTGACTAAATATTACTTAATCGATCTTCTATCGTTTATTTTAACATAAAAAACTAATGGGAGGATTTTTATTATTTCTTTAACCATCGGCAGATTTTAAATTTTTTATTATACTAAAGGGGGATTATTGTATCAACCCATTTTTTCAAGAAAAAAAAAAAAAAAAAATCCATTAGACACAAATTTTTATTCTCTCTTAAAGCAATTTTTTTAATTTTTTTTTTTTATCAATACTTATTTTTCATCACTGTTGAGTTGATTTTTAATTATTTTTATAATTCATTTTATTAATTCTAATTTATTTCATTATTTTGCTTAGTATTAATACCCAATAAATTGATACATCACAACCATTATAATAACCAAATCAAATTAATAAAATGAATTTACAATTGATTGATTAAATCAATTTGGTTTCAAAAGTAGAATAATAACAAATTTCTTAAGTTTGATTTTACATTTAAAAACATTATTGGGTCCATAAATTGACATGCATATATTCAATTGGGGATTAAAATACAAGAAAAGTAAGGTTTGACTGCCAATATTATTTGAATATAATTGACATATTTTATAATAAGGTTAAGGTTGACAGCTTTGAATTGTAAAATAGAATGTCAACGAGCCGTGCTGTTGAATTAAATATTCTAAAACCATCCTTTTGTTGGAAAAGTGGCTCATTTAGCAAATCACATGGGGATAGAAGTGATAATGAAAAAAGGTTTAGGGACTTATAGTAATAGGCCAAAATGTTAGTTTGTCCTACATTGCTTGGGAATGAAAAATGGGAAACTTTTGGGGCCTATATATAAGAACCTAAATCATTGTTATTTGTATCCTAAGATGTAATTCCATTATACTTCTTTTGTTTAGGGTTCTTTTTTTAAGGACCCTTTAATTTGTAAGTTTTGTTGTATCTCCCATTTGTTTTGGGTATTTGTTGTATTTCCCAAAAGTTTGTAATATTGTTTGGAGATAGTGGAGTTTTCTTTTGCAGCGCCCGAGGACGTAGGTTTTAATACCGAACCTCGTTAATTCCTGGTATTCTTTATTTTTGCATTTAATTTTTGCAATTTCTTTATGCTTTACTACTTGTTATTATTATATTCAATAAGCTAGCGTTAGAGTTTATGTTTCCGTTGCATAACAATTGGTATCAGAGCCTAGGTTTAGGACAGTGAGTAGCTATTTGTATGGTTATATGCATGTCTAGGAAAATTCTGTCAAAAAGGCGATAAAAGTCTAAGGAGACTGGATTTTAAGTGGGACCATTTGTGACCCCTCCATTATTTCCTGGGAATTTTCCTAGTGCGTATTTAATCATTTTAGCACTTACTAATACTTAGGGCTATTGTTGATTTGTTGGTTAGCTATTGAATATAATAATTCGTGGAGCTTGGTTATTGGGAACTTTGTTTACCAAGCCAGTTGAGTAAGGCATAAATGGCGTCATTGTCCGAGGATTCATCGTCTGAGGCATCACTGTTCGTGGCACCACCATCCGTGCCAGTAAAGATGATAACGGTTTCAAATGCAAAAATTGATGTTGAAAAATTTGATGGCCAAAATAATTTTGGCTTGTGGCAGAGTGAGGTAATGGATAGCTTGTATCAGTAGGATCTAGATATTGTTCTGAAGGAGGAAAAACCAGAAGATATCTATGAGAAAGACTGGGTGAGGTTGAATGTAAAAGCTTCTGGAATGATTCACTCATGTCTTTGTAGAGAGCAGAAATATCCATTCATGAAAGAGACGTCTGCAAATAAGTTATGGAAGGCGCTGGAAAACAAATATATGAAAAGAAGTAATGAGAATCGGCTCTATTTGATGAAAAAACTGTTTTGTCTTCAGTTGAGACCAGGTACAAATATCAGTAGCCATATTGATACATTTAACAGATTAATTGCTGATTTGTTAAATTTGGATGAAACATTCAAAGATGAACATAAGGCTATGTTGTTAATTGGATCTCGTCCAGATGAGTTGGACTATCTTAGTATTACACTTCTTCATGGGAAAGAAAAATTGTCCTTTGAAGAAGTTTGTTCTGCTCTGTCAAATCATGAAATTCGAAAAAAGGATCAGAGGGAGAATAGAGATGAGTCAGCAGAAGCACTTGTAGCAAGAGGGCGGAGTCAAAATCAGAGTCGTAAGAAGAAGAGAAGAGGAAGATCTCGTTCAAAGGGAAAACTCAATAGGGATCAATGTGCCTTTTGTCGTGAGAATGGGCATTGGAAGAAAGATTGTCCGAATTTGCAAAAGAAAGAAGGCAAAGCTACTTCTGATGCATGTGTTATTGAGCGTGAAGAGGATAAGTCAGATTTCTGTCTAGTTAGCCTACCATCCACCTCTGGATCAAATGAGTGGATTATGGATTCAGGTAGTACCTATCATATGTGTCCTCACCAGGACTGGTTCTTTAATTTTGAAGAACGTGATGGAGTTGTTTATATGGGCAATGATGATGCTTGTAAAACAACTGGGATAGGTTCAATTCGGTTGAAGAATCATGATGGCTTGACTAGAACTCTGACAGATGTTCGGTATGTACCGAAGTTGAAAAAGAATCTCATCTCTTTGGGAGCCTTGGAATCTAAAGGCTTCACGGTGAATATGCGAGATGGAATTCTAAAAGTTTCTTCAGGCGCTCTTGTGGTAATGAAAGGCACAAGGAGAAACAACTTGTATTACTATAATGGTAGTACAGTTATTGGAACGACAACTGCAGTCGTACAGGAGAATGCAGATTCAGAAATGCTCAAACTGTGGCATATGTGTGTGGAGCATACTCGGCAGCAGGTGGAGTTTGAAACAACAGTTGAACCAGATAGTGTCCACGAGACAGAAAGTGATTCTGAGGTGACTAATGTGGATACTATAGATGAAAAGGAGATTTTACCCCAAGAATCTCCTCAGCAACAGGAATTGATTGCATACAATAGGCCAAGACGAGAAATTCGCAAGCCTGCTCGTTTCGCTAATATGGTGGCTTATGCACTTCCAATCGTAGGTGATGATATTCCTACTACTTATAAAGAAGTAGTTAGGAGTTCAAATTGTGAATCATGGAAACCGACCATGAATGATGAAATGCGATCCCTACATAAGAAGGCGATTGGGTGCAAATGGGTGTATGCAAAGAAGAAGGGATTTCCTAATAGAGAAGATGTTCGGCACAAGGTTAGGTTGGTAGTAAAGGGATACGCTCAAATGGAAGGATTTGATTACAGTGAAGTGTTTTCTCCTATGGTAAAGTATTCTTCCATTCTAATTTTGCTAACCTTGGTGGCACAGTTTGATTTTGAACTAGTTCAATTGGATGTGAAAATTGCGTTTTCACATGGTAGTTTGGAAGAGGAAATATACAAGACTCAGCCAGATGATTATAGGGTTGCTGGAAAGAAAAATTGGGTTTGCAGATTGAAGAAATCGCTATATAGTTTGAAGCAGTCACCAAGACAATGGTACAAGCGATTTGATCAATGTATGATGGGCCATGGGTACACAAGGCCTGATATTTCACAAGCAGTTAGTATGGTGAGTATGCATATACATGATCCTGGTAAAGGACATTTGCAAGTTGTGAAATGGTTTCTACAGTATATTTTATGTACTATAGATATTGGTTTAGTTTTTGTGTAGGATTATATTGAAAATGGGAAAATGATTTTCCAGAAGATTGGCACAGAAGATAATCCTACAGACATGTTGACTTCAGTAGTGACAAGGGTCAAGTTCATTTATTGTTTGAACTTAATCAACATCCTGCGAGCTTGACTGTGTCTTTTGGTGCATTTGAAGGTGTTGCAAAATTTGACAGAAGAATACAAAACTTTGAAGGTTTGCTAATTCGCCAAGGTGGAGATTTGTTGGAAAAGTGGCTCATTTAGCAAATCACATGGGGGTAGAAGTGATAATGGAAAA